CAATTCTATCGACTAGGTGTATGGTGTCAAGTTAGCACTACATACCATTTTTTCTTAAAAAACGAGAGCTACAAATTTTTTCTTTCCACAACAAATTTACAACAAAAACACTACAATTAATGCCGTAGTTAACTTTTCCAAATTCGAAAAGTGTAGTGCTAACTTGACACACGTTATAAATCTGACTAAAGTTTAGAATAATTTTTAGGTTTTTGAATTGAAGTTTTGGGCGTTTTATCGCCATGCGGGTACACTAGTTTTTTATATTGGGCTATTGGTACAAAATAAAAAAAAAAGCGACAAGGTAGTCACACGATTAGTACAATACAGCGAAATTCTAACTAAAAATTTGAACACATTTTTTTCGTGATTGGAAAAAAGAAAAACATTTTGTGCATTCAAAAGATTAGGGTACGTTTTCCTCCAAACTTTGGGCAAATGCCCAATCGTGTGACACTGCTTTAACAATTACAGCCAAAAATTCTAGTTTTTGTCCCAATTTCAGGAAACATTTATGCAGTTTTATGGCCCATTAAATTTTAATAGGTTAAAGGGCAAAATTCAAGACTAGAAAATCGCGTTGTTTAATTTTTTTTTTTAGCTGACGGCGTTGTGCATTTTCTTTCATACAAAGTATGCTCGAAAATTTCATTTATATGGAAGAAAATCCACAACACCGTCAGCCAAAAAAATTATTAAAAATCAACGCAATTTTCTAGCGGTTTGAATTTTGCACTATGGGCTATAAAACTGCATATTTAAACTTTTTCTAAGAACTCTAAATAAAAAGTTTCAAATTTTTGGGCGTAATTGTTAAAAAGTGTTTAATTTTTATAATTTATGCACGAAGTTTGAAATGTAGATTTAATTGGTACGGGTTATGAAATATGCTAGAATTTTATAAAAAAAAAAATTTAAACATTAAATAAACAAAATAACCAAAACTGGTCAGAATGTCACTTAATCAGCTGACCACAAGTGTATGTATATGAGCGCAGATAAATGGGAATCGAGTTTGCTGTACTTTATAAATCGAAATTTTGTATGAAAATGTCACTTTATAAAGCTCTATAGACCGATTTTATTTTTTATGAATAAGGTATGAATAAGGCCATTGAATTATTTTTAAATTTCATTCTATCAATAACTGTTTATGTTTATACGTATGTACATATAAACATTTATAAGTATGAATATATGATAGTGTATTTTTCACAATGTCAATTGGCAATAAATTACACTTTCTCATAAGTCAATATACCGACCGTATAAGCACCTAGTTCTTTTTGTATATGGGTAATTTCCAAACAAAGTGCAATTTTTTTCTTACGCCGTTTTAAATTTTTTTGGTGGTAAAAACGATAGATCAAAAAAGTATT